TGTAACTACTAGCTGAAGAGCTGGTCTCTGAAAAGAAAAGAGTCTTAGGACAGTTAACATGCCATGAGGAAGGGGGGTATGTGTGGTCAGCCTGCCTCTATTCAAACAAGCCTTGCCCCTGTTGCTATGGAATTAGTGCAGAGCTCCCCTCAACAGTGAAATTAGCTCCCTGCTTCAGTGCCGATTGTCAGCGGCTTATGCAGGGTGAGGGTGGAAGAGCTCTGCACCCCCCAGTCCTTGTACCTGCATCAAGTGCAGAGCACCCTGGCAAAAATCTCTCCTTTCCTTCCTAGTGCTCAGAGGACATCCTCTTGATCAGAATTAGAGTCATTAAACACACCCTCCCCATCCTTCCCCCACCACCTGAAGAGGGTTTGCAAGCACTAGAAATTGGCAATCAGAGAACAAATGAGCTGGAGCTGTTAGCAGCAAGCACACAACAGTAATTGAAACAAGCAGAAGGGCTCTGGAAAGTTTCAGCCATCCCCATGGTTGCTGATAGGACCTGCTTGGCTCTGTATGAGGGACTGCGCCAGCATGGGAGCCTGCCCTTACAAGCGAGGGCTCTGGGCTGGCACATGTTTCTCTGTCTATGCATAAGAGATGGCTTTCTGCCCTCAAGGGCTTGTGGGCATGGGTCCCATGGGACACGTGGGGTAGCTATCTCCTCCTCCCCCCACCAGAGAGTTTGGCAGCCAGGCCTAGCTCGGGTGGTCCGAGTTCATAAGCACCCCATGGGAAAGGCCTCAAGGCTCCTGTTGCTGGGAGTTGGACAATAAGGAGCCGAGCGCACATGGGATAAAGCATGATACCAGCTGGGCCAATTTGCTACCTGTGCCAAAGAGATTCAGTGCCATGAGAGCGTCTTTAGCCTGTTTCAGCTCGTGTGGCATCCCTCATTGTCTGCTGGTGACAAGCCCTCCCTATTCTCTCCAGCCCACTGGCAAGAGTTACTTACCCTCCCCTTTTTCCCTTTTCAATTATGTGTTAATTTATTTACCACTCCTGGAGGATAAAGAATTAACATACATCACCAGAGTCCGAGGCAATATGAACAGGTACGTGTGGGTAAGTCTGCTTACCTCTGGGATCTAAAGGAATATTGTATGTGTCCCCAAGAACTACAAAGATTAGGCAGAGCAGAGAGAAAAGGGGAGGGAGGAGAGAGAAAGAGAAATGCAAAGTGCAAAAAGACAGGTTAGAGACCACCATCCCTTTGAGAACAAAGCAGATATTAACACAGAGCAGCCACAGACAGCTACACAGGAGAGCAGGCAGGAGCCCCTCCAAGGCCACAAACGGAGTGGAAATCACAGAGGAAAGGCAGAGTCTAACCTCCTTCCCCTGCTAGAGACATTGTATTGTCATTGTTTGTATTTAGTACGACACCTCATTCCAAAATCGGTTCAAACCCACTTTCAAGGCACAGGAAAGCTTCCCCTCATGCCAGCAGCAGTATACTGGGCCTTGAAATGAACTGCACAGGCCATATAACCTTCCCAAGAACCTGAGCAAAGCCATCCCACCCTCACTCTGCACTTTAGCATCCCTGCATGGCTATGCAGGGCCCTACAGAGCCGTTTGGTGGGCAAGAGCAAGGGATTGGCATCACTGCATTGAGCTGATGAACTTTGCTTTTGCTACCACTTGAGGCAAACGTCGCAGGAAAAACTGCATGTATTTCCCACCACTTGGGATCACTGTGGGAGTTATCTAACCCAACTCCAGACACCCGCACCTGAGCTAGCAGCTGGAAGCTGTCATTAGAGAGCCACCCTTGGGGGCAAGTCACCATCCCAAAGCAGATGCCTCTGTTCGCAGAAGCTACTCCCCTCTTAAACTCCACTGACATAATCTGATCTGATGACACTTGGTCTAGGGTCAGGTCCACAGCTGGACCCGGACCACAACTTCACCAACATTCGGTAACCAGCGTCACTCAAAATGAGAACAGCTCTGCCCTGCGTGGGTGCCCCGTGTTGGGCCAGGCGTAGCTTTTGGAGCAAGCGAGAGAGCTGTTTCTGCACGAGAACAACACTGGCAGAAAGCAGGGAGCATCTGGCAGCAGATGGTCCCCAAGGCCTGACTGCAGACAGAGAGAACATGATTTACAATACTTGGATTGTGGGTCATCTCACACACGGCTCTGAGGTACTACGTGTTAGCCCAAGTTACCAGATCTGTTACAATTACACCAACTTCAAGCTTTAATAATTGAACAGACTGCAAAGAAGTATTTTTCTCAAGCTGTCTTTACACAGCGGGATCCCTCTGTACCTGATTGGACAACCAACCATAATTAAGAAGAAAATGGCTTGTGTGTCATGGATATGGTCACATTTTATTATATGACCAATATAAAAAATAAAAAAGCCTATGCTACCTTTTGAATCAGCTCCTATGACAGATCTCTACTGCATGACATGTCAAGACTTTGAAACAACAGTGCTGACATCACCATTCAGGGAAGGACATGGGAAACAGTTGGTTTCTCTAAAAAAAAAAAAAACCAACCTCAGACCACCTCTTTGGCCAAGGAGAGAGAGTCAAGGCCCAGGAGGCTCTGAGCACACTGAGCTTGCAAGTGGAGAGGGCACACACAAGGCAGTGGCTAGAGGAGAGGTGGTGAGAAACAGAGACATCCTAGCTTGAGTTAATTTAGAACTGACAGAACTTTCCAAGCAGGAATTGCAGATAAAAGTCTGGAGGCAGCTGTAAGCTTCCCCCTTCCCCTGCTCCTAATGGGCTCCCTAACCCTTTCCAAACACCAGCTAGTGGCCTGTGCCTCCTCAGGTCCCTGCACCCCTTGAATCTCCAGTTCTCCACCTCTCCAGCCTGCTCTGTTCCAACCTACTTGAATGCATGAGCTCCGCCAAGGCCGAGGGCTCACTAGAGAGCTGGGAGCTGCTGCTCTGAGCAGAACCAAGAATCACACTCTAGCTGATATGCAGCAGCATCCCGTTACATGAGGCAGCAGCTCTCAGCTTCTGATCTATGTATTTCTTTCTGGAATTAGTCTCTTTAGCATCACGGAGAGCAGAGCTAAAACTTGTCTCACTGTTAGGGTACGTGGCACATGAATAGCTCAGGAGTCCCAGCGTGACCATGGCTAGATGCTGAGGAGAATATTCTTGCTGCTCCTGTTATACTCTGACCAGAGGATGTGGCAGAGAAAGGTGGCAATTCATCAACACACAGCCTAACTAAAGCTAACTCAGCTGGACCAACCCCCCTCACTCCAGTGCAGTCACAGGACCAGCCCAGTGTCAGATCTGAAGCTAAATGACTAAGGCACCCTCTCTTGATATCACAGAGCACATCAGCAAATAAACAACATCCCAAGTACCTGATTGGAGCAAGTGTGGAAGGCCAGCAGGGAAACTCTCTGCATCCCTTGGAGTTCTCCAGATAACCAACTATGTGGTCATGGCAGATCGGAGAACAAGACAAACCACAGGGTGAAGGACAGGAGGAGAACAAGCTCACAGTGCATGTTGAGGTTTGATCTTTTCAGGGAAGATGTCCAGACAATTTGGGGAAGGACTGCGTGCCCAAAAAAGCCCCATGCATGTATGTACCTTGTGATGCCAGCATGGCACCCGCCGTCTCCTGGAAATCCAACAACTGCTGTAGGAAAAGGATGGCCTAGAAGCAAGGGAAGGAAGTTATGAGCAACCGACATTGCATCTCCTATGCTCTGCTATTAAGGATCATGGAAGGACCATTTGTCCCCCAACACTTAAAAGCCTTCAAGAAACAAATCACTACGCTCCTTTGAGTTGCTGGGTTTTACCCACACTGTCACATTATGGCTTAGCAGCTCACAGTGCATGTTGAGGTTTGATCTTTTCAGGGAAGATGTCCAGACAATTTGGGGAAGGACTGTGTGCCCAGAAAAGCCCCATGCATGTATGTACCTTGTGATGCCAGCATGGCACCCGCCGTCTCCTGGAAATCCAACAACTGCTGTAGGAAAAGGATGGCCTAGAAGCAAGGGAAGGAAGTTATGAGCAACCGACATTGCATCTCCTATGCTCTGCTATTAAGGATCATGGAAGGACCATTTGTCCCCCAACACTTAAAAGCCTTCAAGAAACAAATCACTACGCTCCTTTGAGTTGCTGGGTTTTACCCACACTGTCACATTATGGCTTAGCAGGGGTAACTAGCTAATCTCTCCATGGAAGCCAGTTAATTGCCCTTCCAATACCAAGACAACTTAACTTAAGAAGTTTCCCTACTGCTCTTTTTTAAACCTCTTCAGAAGCTGTTTTTCCACAAAGGATGGTTCAAATCATCATCACGTACGTTGCTGGTGAGTTCATGAACTGTCCCATCTTTTGGCATGTTATATTCCTTGTCCGGATCATTCTAAGAAGGGAAGAGAGACATGAGGTAAGCATATAAGGAAATTGAAGGCATCTACAATGCCTTCACTGCTGCTGCAAGTGAGCTGTAGGCTTGTTTATCCAGCCTCTCTCAACATCCTTGGACTCGGCTCTTGCAGTGCCATCTCCTGGTGCTCAGAAACCACAGCTCCTATGCACTGGCAGCTCAGAACCACAGGGGTTTGTTCAGCATGTGACCATCAAATGTTCAGCTCACCTACTGGGCAGTGCATTCACCAAGCCCACCTTACACAGGGACAGTTTAACATGAGTCCTCCAAAACTTTTCAAGTCAGCAATTTTCCTTTCTTTTTAAATAGGATTAAATTCTGAGATTGACTTGATATCTGCAGAGGCCTGGAAGCTCATGTCAAGTTATCTGTAGTATGCCTGTTAAGGGTCTTAGGCAGAGGCCTCCTGTATTTGAAATCAGCACCAAGCATTTGGTATTTGCAGCTGACCATCCAAAGCGATCCAGCAAGCTCCTGCTTTAGAGTCAGAAACTACACGGTCTCATGGAAAGCTGAAAGCTAAACTAGGGGTTCTGCTCAGAAAACCCCTCTTCCGAGCCTGCTGGTCTTGCCAGAGAGAACATTGAGGAGAATCCTACCTTAATGTTGTCTGCAAACTCTTCCAGTGCCTTCGCACCAGTGGTCTCCATGGAAGTGATCAGCCCTGGCAGTTTGTTCTTAGTGCCTGCTGCAGTTCCCTGGAATAGTTCCATAACAGATCAGAGAAGGAAAACAAACAGTATCTGAACTTTCATCCAGCACCTACTCTCCTTGATCCACCACCCCAGCATCTCATTCTCAGTTCCCCATGTGGCAGGATTGTATTTACAGCACCATCAACAACATGTGAAATCCTGCATTCTTCCGCCAGCCAGAAAGGGAAGATGATGTGACCCTAACGGTGACCAGGACTTGCCACCTCTCATGTTTCCTCTTACGCAGTACCTGATACAGGAGGTTGGTGCATCACAGTCACCAGCTGAAAAGGAGCCTTGCTAAACCTGGATGCCATATTTGATACCTGGAGAACCTTGTGGCACGGTCCAAGCAGGCTCTCCTCAGAGCAGCCCATCTTCCAGACATCAGTGAGCAGTCTAAACTAAGCTCAACAGTATCAGAGATGAAACACCTCAGAGGCCATGTATACAGCAGAATAATGTAGATGGTCCATCACCGGGTCATGACTTGAACTGAAAAGAACTGCTGCTGAGAGATGCTGAGTTGCTGGTTCACCATCACAGAAAGGAGCAAGCTGCATTTCTGTCACTTCCAGTCCATGCTGGAGGACAGAAGCAGCATGGCTTTGTTCAAAGCCACTGTGATAATCCCTTTCAGAAAGTTCTCCAGACAACCCAAGCCACAGGACCCTCTTCAATCCCATCACGCTTACCTGCAAGACCTGGTCAAATTCTGGCTTCATCTGCTTAAGATGCTTAAGGATAGGGAAGATCGTGAGCACAGCTGAATAGTCGTGTCGGATGATGGCTTTCCGGGCAGCTGAGACAATATTATCCCCCTCCATGATCAAGTTATCCAATGACTCCTGCAACAAAGCCAGAGTCAGAAGGAAGCAGCATGACTTTTGCCCAGGCAGCACAAGGGGCTCAATGCAGGATACCCATTAAGGATGCCAATTTAGCTGATGGGTCATTTGCGGTACCCAGGGAGTGACTCTGAGCACATGTTCTCCAGGGTCTGTGCAGGCACCGGTTCCCTAAACAGGTCCTGGAGGACAACCCTAGCAGTAGTGGTGCTCTTGGGCACCCACAGCAGGTGGTGGAATCCACATCCTAACAACGAAGAGGAAGGGAAGGATACTTCGTGCGTATCCTTTACAAGAGGAGCCAAGCAGAGAGACTCAACTGACCTGGATAAGAGAATCAAAGGTCTTCTTCTGGTGGTGCTCCGGGACGATTTCTGTCAGGAGCTGGTATTCGCTCTGGGCCAGTTTGACAAAGGCACTAACGCAGTGAATGTACGCATCAATCTCGATGTCGAAGACGTCATCCCTCCCTGTAAGGGCAAGATGGCTTTAAGAGAGAACAAAATTTGCACTGAGCTTCCAGCAGCTCTGCTCACTCCAAGGCCCTGGTTTACACAAGGAGCATAAGGTTCTTCTGGAAAAGGCAGTTCTGGCTTTGCACCCATCTTGCATGAGAACAAGAGTCGTCATCTCACCAAACCTGCCCCCTGGGTTTGTGCATGGGAAGCTATGCATACCCTGCAGGAGGCATGCAAAGTCATCTGCAGTTCAGGAAACAGGCACATCAGGACACCAGCTCCTTTCCAGCCTCATGACAGAAGGCAAGTTTGGAGCTCTTCTGGGATACAGACTAAATTTAATCAAGGGCTTGAACACAGAGTACTAAACTCAGGAAGGTCTGAGGTGAATTATTCAACATCTCTGCTTGTATTTTTAGAATTCCTTATCTCCATCCGTCACGCAGATGAAGAACTGCCATTTTGCATCAACATTTCTGGGAAATCAAGGCTGTCCTGGAAGGCAGCCTCTTCCCACAGGCAGAAACAGAAGATAAAAAAACAGGCAGATGAACATTTAAATCCTATGAAGCAGGAATATCAGCACAGCTAGGTGAGCTATCTGCCACACAATGCTGCATACAAATGCAAATATTCGAGTCCTAGCATGTCTCAGACAAAGATCCATCAAAGAACCTATGTGGTAGGCATGAGAAGTGCCAGTATGATACAAAGGTCCACACCAACTCATGCCAACCACTAGCTGGATGTGTCAGCAGGACAGACACAAACGGACTCTCCCCATCCTGCATTACTCAGACCCCTGTAGTAACCACTACAAGACAGTAAGATTACACAGAGAGGCCTTCTCGAAGCTATGGGCTGCTGCTGCTTCTCTCCTCCCAGCAACATCTGCAACTTCTCATGGAGAAAGAACCAATTCTTCCCTACA